TCTCTTTGATTGTGTTGCTTGAGTTGAATGGGATCGTGCATTGTGTTTGTGAATTGAAGCACTTTTCAAGAATTGTAAGCACTTTGTGTTATTAAGCAACCAAATAATATCTTTTAAACGTATATTTACGTAATATTTCCAGAAAGGATAGAATGACACGTATTTTTTGGTGCGCTCGATCGATTATTGAGGGAAAAGTTATTGGTTGAATAACTGAGCGATAATATTTGTTTAGAACCGTTATTTTCTCAATCACCTTGTTTTGATTTCAACTGGTAAATAGCGCGTGTCTAAACCACTAAGACAGTTATTCTTCAGTCCGAACCTTTGTTTGGATATTACAGTTTATTCCCCGTAAAGGAAAGAATGCAAAGTGATGAGTGTTAAAGGTTTTGCCATAAGATGTGTACCCGTTCAAATCTTATCGCATATAAATGACGCCCAAAGTCTAACTCACATCGGTTTTGTATGTTTTGCTGTGCAAATAAGACGAACCTTTTCGCTTTGTTCTGTAAGAAGAAAGATGGCTGTTGCTCTGGTGAAACGAATACTGATAGTGAAGAATGTGTCATTGCAGTACGTTCTGTTACGAGGCGCATTAAACAGCCTACTGTGATTGATGGGAAAGCGGAATCTCCGTCGAAACTAATGAGGAGTGAAGTTTCACTTGATATTGATATGAGTGGTCATATTTCTTCAGCAGAAACTTAAGACTTAGATAAAACCGTCACCGTTTCAAATAGTCCTGGTGTTGCTGTCCTGAATGATAAAAATGGACGGCAGTATGGAAAAAAGGAAGTAAAAGGAAAAAAGCTATAAGCGGTACTCACTTGGTTGGCTGGTCATTGGTGAACCCCCAGCCTGAGTCACAAAATACACTACCGGTGTCTGGTAGCAAGACAGAATTCCACTCTGGCGTGGCTCAGAAAAATTCGATCTCATCGAAAATTGTGGGTAATTTGCTGGAGTCGAATGATCCTGACCCCAAAATTAGACACGCGTATTATTTGAGAAAGCTCAGAGAGTTTATCTGTAGCATCTCACCAGATAACTCTAAAGGAGTTAAAGTCGAAAAATTGATTAGAATTAGTAAGAGGACCGACGATAGTGTTGCACCCCAGCCATACAGACTACTTAATGTAATCCTAAGGTTGGAGAAGCAACGTGATCTGCTGCGTAGCGCTCACAGTCACTACAAAACCGACATCCGAATGGAACGTGATATGCATATTGAACATAAAATAAAAAGAAGTCCGCACACTAGCTGAACTAGAAACCCGTCGACGAAATTGTGAGGAAAATCTCCATTTAGTAGGTTTTCGAATAGTCAGGTCGTCGAAGCTAATGCTCCCAAGGCCTGTGTGGATAGGTCGTTCTCCCTAAGTGCTTCATATACAAATGCTCGTAGTCTAAGAAATGCATTCCATAAACTAGGAGAATTATTGCACAAATTAAGGCCGCTCATTGTAGCTGCGACGAAAACTTGGTTAGTCCATGATTTCTACATTACTTCAGGATTGTCGTAATACCACTAACTAAGAAGTGGTAGAGATAGATTAAGGACAGGAAGTAGCTTCCTTTCATGTACATCCATTATTGTAAATATCAACTCCTTTGTTTGCGAATCCCAAGATAGTGGAACTTGTGAAGTCATTAGCTCTGAGCTGACAATCGGGTGTTGTACATTTATACTCGGTTTCATCTATCTCAGCTCAATCTGCTTACCTGGTGACTATATTTTAGAGCACATTCAGCTATGGAATGCAAATAAGAGTTTCTTGATATCAGTAGACCTTAATGCATCTGATAATAGTTGAACTGAGATGTCCACGGTAGAATATATAAACTCCCTTAATAGTAGGTTCCTGGTAATAGTAGTGGAGCATGCATTAGTACAGCATGAATCCAAACCCACAAGTTTTTGTGAAAACCAAGGTTTTTCTTTGTTAGACTTCTTAATCATTCATGTGACTGAGGATATTGCCAACCTAAATATCCTATCACCGTCAGTGAATAGAGATCACGCTGTTCTGTCATTCACGTTTAGAACTACTACCTATAATTGACATAGGAACTGTTATATCTATAACTTTGGATTCTTACTATGCTGCGTACTACTTAACTACTTGAACTATCGAACCTTCAATGTCGTAAAAGAGAAGACAGAAGACTAGTAAGTATGAATGTTATTACCAAATCAGTGTCAATATGTAGTACGAAAATCTCATGTATTTATAGTTTTTGACTGAAAGCGAATCATCATCTCGGACAGTCAATAGGAACATAGAGGATCCTTCTTATTGATCCAATAGGGAAACTACATTCTAGAATGTTTCTCCAGCGGTGATTAGATAGTATGTCTTCGACTCTTCCTGGGCTTCTTGAGGCTTACTTGAGTTTGCCAACGAGCCATCCTTACAGAAACAGCTGCAACAACGAAGATCCACTAAATGGGTTTGCGTAAATACACGTTAGGGTAAACGTATCCTTTACTGTATGTGGTGGCAGGCTTTCTGTTTGCTGTCTGTAAGTTTAAAACAGATTGGTGAACCCGGACGTTAGAATTTGCAGGAAGAATGCTAAATTCTGCACCAGTATCGATGAGGTGGCGAACTTTCATGATCACATCTGTGACGCATAACAGACGGCTGTGTCGGGCGGCTACAGTTGCCGATAACGCGCGTATGGGAAGTTTCCCGAAATGTTTTTCCTGCCAGTCGATTTTGTTTTCGGATAATTGCAAGGTTTTCTGCAATTTCTAGAAGATTCTCCGTACTGGTTATGACACCAGCACAGTCCGAGTTATCCGTCTGCTTCTTCTCACTGCATGTGACTGTTTATGGTCATTACGAAATCTAGGAACACGTATAAGTGCATGACACGGTTCCGTGATGTCATTCTGAGTCACTTGAGGTTTTTCTTTGACTGAAAATACCTCGGCGTCAGAAGATTTGGTGATCTCTAAAATGCGACCTGCAGATGCAGCTAGCTAGGCTACGGCTTTGTTTTGAAACAAGACAAGAACTGTTTGCACCTGTTGAAGAAGATAAGATAAGAAAAGTTGTCTAAACAATCCACCATCGAAAGTTTTTTGGCCTATTACTTCTCTCATTCTTGGCAACATATCTGTCGTAAGTTTGTGTACCAGATCACGGCGGGTTCATTAATGAAGATGCCACATTTATTTGAAGTTTGACAACGTCTTAACCGGTAACACCTACTTTGAATCGTACCCACCAAGTGAAATTAAAATTCACAATCGAGGGTGGTCGAAGATATATATTATAGGCCCTTAATATATCTACAATCTACTGATCCAGGCTGGCTAGTAATTGTAGGGGATGTCGAGCACGGCGTTCTTACTCGTGATCTGTTGAGGATGTATGACTGAGCGCCTTCAGCTACGTGAGTCCATCAAAACCTATGTGGTCAGTATCCAATGTCAAGAACTTATAAATTGATTTATTATACTGGATTTATTTACCGATACAACTTGTATCTTCATGATGTAATTGTACTAGTTCTCCAAGTTTCATCTCCGTTCAGTAGAACTGTGTTGACGTTCGTACTGAAGATTGTGAGTGAGCTCCATATGTTCTTAAATTGTAGGTATTCTGTACTTGTTTTACCAATCTCTACCTTTACATCTGCATCGCATCGTCCACATTCATTGATGATGCTACACAGATACGTGAATGTAACCGACTCTTTGACGGCTTCTCCATCAAGTGAGATTGGGTTGGTTCTCTTCCACTTGCATTTCAGGATATTGGATCTTCTCTTGTGTATGCTTGTGTCTTCTGATGCACAGGCTGCAGCTACACTGTTTCTCTTGACATGCACCTGTGGTTATGTATGGGTTAGATGGGCTAGGTTATCTATGAAGCCCAAATCGTTTAGTTTCATTGAAGACGTCAACCTAATTTCTTGAATCTCCTAGGATGTGGAGGTCTTCATAATCCAGTCAACCATTACAAGAAAAAACCATGCTAACGAAGTTTGTTAAAGTTTATTTCGATATATGCTGTTATTCGAACTCACACTCCCTGTGTACATTGTGTAATTTTTCCCCATATACCCCATGTGAGTAATTGTGAGCTTTCTGGGTAGAAAAACAGGCCAGCAATCTGCATTTCACGCAAACCGAAGATTTCAATGTTGCTGTGTTCCCTACTCAAAAGAGACACTAATCTCCTAGAACAAATTCAGAAACGAGAGACCAAGTGGGTGATGGTGTGAGAAAGAAATTTAAGGGAAATGAGCATCAATATTTCAGATTATTCCCGTGTGACTATCAGACAGTAAGAGGTGGCCTGATAATGGAGCACAACATACTAATCGCATCGAGTCCCTTTCATATGAGCATCCCAACAGAACCCAGCCCTCGCGCTCCACAATTCAGAGTCCAGAAAACCATACATTGAGACGCGAAAAATCAGATACTAACTCACTTTTTTATCACAACTCCTTCTCATCTTCAGTGCTCTCCCAGACAAAGTGATCACCGGGCTCCATAGTTGATTGCTCCGAGTGGAGGCCTAACCCATGAATTACCATCTCCCAATTAAACTATTTGTGGCTGATCCATATCTCACAAATTATCTACCATCATTTCCACAACATACCACTTGCCTATTCCAATCTTGAATATTGTCACATTCGTTTACCTGTTATTCGAAAACTCCGATCATATCGTTTAGATGACTATTGAATTAACTTATTTACTCCCTGGAGCGGTTGCCTTATCTTGTCGTTTGAATGCAGATCCTTCAGTGATGAAGAAATTGACTATTATTTATACAATAGATTGCCTCCTTCATCACTATGTCACATCCGAAAACCTTGGATCTTACAGAAAAAGTTAGAAGTAGAAGAAAAACTCAATTTGTCTATACTAGCTTGTGGCAAGAATATCAGTCTACTAATGTATAATTCCAGGATAACATCAGATCAATGTTGTTAGTAATGTTACCATGTCAACAGTATAGTCGTAAGTTTAAATGTTGAGGTCAAGCGATAGCCTGACACTGGAAAATTCATTGAATGCTTTTGAAAGAGAAGAGATACTTCAAGCTTTAGCAATTGCCGGACTACTGAGTCAAGAGAAGGTTTATCTAGAGCTTACAAACGAAGCCGTAAATTTCGCGAGAAAAGAAAACTTTAGTTTTTCGCAATTATGCGCACTCGTTTCGGTAACTAATAGAGTGTTGAAAGAACTTTCAAGTAAGTTTGGTGATAACAAACAAAATTCTAGGTTCTCCATTCGACGACATACAGAACGTCCTTAATGTATCGGACAAAATTATGATGAGTTACTCTATCCAGGTAATGTGACGTAATTCTAAGTCTTACTGCAGAGGACTATCTCAACAGAGGCCACCTCACTGCATTGAGTTGTTTTCAATCGCCGATTCTTTAAAATGCGTTGAATTTCTTGTGGACTCGTTGTTTAGGCACTGGAGACTTTACAAGTTCGCTTTAGCTCCAACAGCACGCCTCGTACCTCAACTCATTTACGATACGAAAGGTGAGTCAGGGCTTAATAACTGACAGTCAAAGTCTTAACATCCAATCCGCAAATACTTTCTAGAACCAAGGTTTAGTTGTTTGCCTGAAGATCTGTTAGTTGTGTCACATGTATAGAAATCCTGGAAGGGATCGACGTGAACACTAAACGACCTCGAATACCTGTCTTTTCAGAATACCTAAAGGACAGAATTCCAGCTAGCTATTAACTTATATTTCACCCATCAGGTAATTTGTATCACTGAGGATCGTCTAGTGCATGACCATAAAACTTTTGTAGACAGAAAAGGAAGAGCCCAATCCCAGTAAACATCCTGACATTCGTCACTGAAACACAACAGTTAGAAAAATAAACACTCTATTAAGGTTATTAACTTTATTATTGTATATCGTTACTGTGTTTAACCTTCACACAGTTTACAATTCGGACTTCAAACACCGAATTTGGAACGACTGTAGGCTTCCAAACTCGTTGGAAGTGAATTTCGCAATTGTAGAATTACCTCATGTGACATCAGGTTTATGGGCTTATTTTGGTCAGAAATTGTAAATGTCCTCAGATTAGAGATATGGTGGACCAATGAGTTTTAATAGGCTGTCACTGAGATAATAGACTCGTAGTCAAAAATGACCCACTGAGTATAAAACATACTAAAATATTTTGTTATTCTAGCTTTCACTTAATTTTTTTTCAATTGTTAAAAACTTTTTAATAGATTATGACTCGGAAATTGTCGACTTGAAACCATCAGGTAAAATAAAAAAAGTGGTGAACCAAGTTAACATCATTTTACTTTTTAGGAAGTGATTTACTATACTCAATTTTAAAATATGCACTCGAGGATCAAATTGAAGTCATTAAACAAGAAAATCAAATCAGTGATTGATTTGTAACAAATTCTGATCTAAAAGCTGTCTTCTTAATTCCTACATCTGATACATTATAATTACTGTTAATAAATGACTACACATACATCGAGCCTACTTCTTTGGAATTGATTGGATATACTGGTATAAGTCCCAAACGTACGTAGAAAATATGTACAAAATGAAACCACGTTGTATGTCATGAAAAAATGTCTATTACTATTATGATTAAGAAGCTAAAACAACAAGTATACATTACCCTAAACGAGAATGGTTTGCTTTGCTCCTAAAAGCCGGTCGAAATCATCTGGTAAAATATTTCAGTATACTTGATGACATCAGTTACTACTAGTTGGTTAATACACGAAATACAGTTTAACAAAGCAAAGACAACTATAACAGCTTAGCAACAATGCCCCTACCAATAGCGTCTAGATGGATGCTTAAATATCCCTTAGAAAGTGAGTTTACTGATGCCTTGGAAAAAGCAAAAAATCAAGTTTAAAATTTTTATTTACAGCCTTTGGACATGAATTACGTCCATGTGAAGTTGTAAGAATACTAAGTTGAGGGGTTCAAGGACTTAAAAAGACGACGTTATGTGTAATTCTAATCTTTGTATAATCGTGATTGTTTGTCAGTTAGTTCGTGACAAAATTGCAGCTACCAAAAACGTTGAACAGATTAACAATTGTTTATTCTTGATTGAAGAAGACTTAACCACAAGTGCAAATATTCATACATTTTGAGAAAATAGGAAAGCTTTCTGGTAAGACTTTTCAAAAAGACCTGGAAGTCAAGGATGAAAGTAGTAGTAGTCACAAGCAATATCTTGTTCAGTGTGGTTAAGAATATCAAGTAGCATGTTGGGTTTAAGAAAAATCACAATTGAACTATAAAAAAATGATGAGAAAGTAGGTCTTATTTTTTTCGTGAGGGCTTAACTTGAGATAACGTTAACTTTACACATCCTGGAAAATTACGCGATACTTCTTCATCTTTCATTGCACGTATTAATTCTCGTTCTCTGTTGGTTGTGGATTTGTCCGACGTAAACTGGAACAACGCCATCTTGGATGCTAATTTTAGGCAAACAGAATAAATAAAAAATTCTACACTAGTTATAAACTTGAAACCATAAAAATTGTCAGTCAGCTGCTCAACTAAATGAAATATAACAAATCATTTTTCCTTGTAGTAGCTTAATTCCATGTTCCCTTAGATATTTAACTGAACTCGACGAATGTACATTTTTATTTTGCTTGTCCGTGAATAGAGTGATTAGACACGCCGTTCCTGCTTTGAGTATACTGTGTGTGATGTAATTGCTGTCTCAAGTTTTGCTAATTATGTGAAATACGATGTCTTATAAACCGTTTTAGTTGGCTTCTGATTTTACACTTCCTGACAGAAGTTGGATCAGTAGTGTCTAGGACATACGATGTTATGGAGTAACTCCAAGCAGTAACAATTAGTTAACAGATTCCTCGACCAAATCGATAAATTATAAGTCACCAAATAGGAATACTGTCAGTAAACTACCAACAGAGGCTATTCTAATTTTTTTCTTTACACGAAAATGATACTCAGTAAACAAGCATTTGCACACGCCATCATGAAATTGTTGACAGTGTATGAAGTATTACGTTGTACCAACTGAGAAGCATACTAGTTAAAATGATAGTTAACACACAGTAGCGTTTACATATTGAGTAACAAGTAGAAAATAATTTGCACGGTTTAAACAGTATATACTTTGATCATTGCATCAAACTAGCATCAACGTCCAAGAATATCATGGACTCTATGTTGGATATGCCAGGCTGTACAAAACAGAAATTAACTATGACTTTTGTAAACCAGTAACAGTAATCGAATACGAAATTAAATTACGCTAGAGAATTTGTAGAGCATAATTTTGAAAATATTTTGGCGCACTAAGAGAAGACAAGCCGAAATTATTGGTCGAAATTTCAATTTCTTAATTATTTCCAAGCTGAGTAAATGATTAATTTAGTTGAAGATTGATAACCATTCTTCCTAACAGAAAATGATGACAAAATAATCTGTAAAGCGATGAACAGATGTTGTTTATCATACCTTTTCCTCGTTTTGTAGTTCCTGGGTTCAGTTTTACTCTGAACTTGTACTTTAATAGAACTGAATAAGGGGCACAGACTGGAATAGCATACAATAGTAAATCATCATCATTAGGCTGACCAGTCAGAGAATTTAATAATGAAGTTAAATCATCTTTCGACTCAACCGGCATATCTTCTTTATCATCATTATCATTACTTTCTACATGATTAACTTCTAGAGATTGTAAACCCTCTTCACTTTCATCTGATTTGACAGAATTATTTTCGATTTCACTGCTCGAATCATCGAATGACTCATTGTTATCACAGTCAGGTTGATTATTCTGTATACTATCTGAATTGTAAACAACTTGAGTATCCAGTACACATTGTGGGATTTTAATTAGATTTGACAAGTTGTGGCGTTCAAGAATTTGGTGATACTGACTTGGTTTAGCGTCGTCTCCCTGATAAATAAAATAGAATTTGATGAGATGGACACTGCTGACATAATCATTATTATAACTAATAACATGAAGGTTGAATTGTTTAAAATTTCTACTGATTTACAAGAAAATTCTGTGATGAATTAGAGGACTAAACTGACAAGATGGTGTAGAACTACTTCTCACAAAAGTACTGAAGTTCATGATGCTGGCAATGAGTAGGGTTGAAATGAGAGGAAAATAAGGCAAACGAATAAATAAATCATTCAGAATTAAAAAAGTGAATAACGAACACGCCCCTCCTGTAGTGATGAATCTTGTGAGCCACCACAGATCTTTCTTACTCTGAAGGATCTCAGGCGGAAAGTATACGTAATTGATTTGTTAGGTCCTATGTTGTTTTTGATTGGCTAACTGATGTGCGCAGATACCATGAAATGATTTGACCACTATTTCTTTTTCAATCTATTAATATCAGTGGTTGTTGAACATGTGTAACACATATCATAGCCAGCACAGTTGGCATAATGGTGCATTAGTGACTGATTTGGCTTATGTACCTAGAATTCTGAATTTTGCCTCGACACTGCATATTCAGTTTAACTTGTAGCAGTAATGTCTGGAACATATTTATGACCGAATACCTATAACTCTGCCGTCACATGTCTTCAATAAGGTAAATATTATACAACATTAGGGAAGAACAGATTACGTTCCCATGTAATAAGCTTATGTTTCTTGACGATCTCAAAGATTAAGATGTTAGCAGGCGCGAGTAATTTTTGTCTTCTATGTGTCTGTTACAGTGTTCAAGTGTAATTGAACAATCTGTAACAAATCTCGTTGGGTACTCAGAATAACAGGGGAAAATAACTATTGGTGCAAGAAATTATACTTTAGTGTTTCGAATAATAATTTTCAAATTAATTTACAGATAGTAAAACGACGGTGAATTGACATGAAAACAGTAGCAAAGGGGTTAAAGAAAATTGATTTGAAGTGAATATTGTTAAGATATTAACGAAAAGATAAACAACAGATGTCAAATATACGTGACGATTTGATAGTGCAATTAATGAAATGACTTAAATGTTCTTATGACTTATGATTTAATGGAATATACTTGATAACCATAAATATAAATAAAACAGTAGTTGTGAATAAAGCATTCACAAGAGGTGTTAAAAACGTACCAGTAATGTAATAAAAACACCGAATGATATTTAAGGGAGATTTTTATGAAAATTCTATGTAATATGACCTTTTTACCTGAAGTATTTTCATACGAAGATTTCTTTCTTCGTCATCTTGTTCTTTGTACTTTTGTTTAATTTTTTTTATTTTAGCTTTCTGACCACGTTTTAAAATCGGATGACCAGCTGATGGTAGTAATGGCTCATTGACTTTATCCTTTGCTTCAATGGTTTCTCTATTTAAATTTGTTGTTTTCTTAGTCGGTTTCAATTTATCAACCTTTTGACTTTTTGTCTTAACTTTTTTAAAAGGATTCTTTGACAAAATTTCCGATACATCAGGATCTTTATGTCTAAAGTAAAATATAACAATCAAGGTTATTTTTAAATACGATTTAAAGAAAACAAAATTTTAAGAAGTAGTGGCATGAAAAAAAGGAGATTTCAGTATATATATTAAAAATGTTATGAGTATGAACTAATTTTCCAGTTACTAGAAACCTATCAGGAACCACATACATATTTGTGTACCATGTTATAAATGTTACTCATTGGATAGTAGTAAATCATGTTGCAAATGAGCCAGACTGCCAGTTACCGAGAAAAGTGACTGTCTATTTCATCACCAGTTAATTTGGAAGGAATGCTAGTTTTAGTGAGTTTTATATATCGAGAACAATTTTTTACTTATTAAGTAGACAACTAAGAGAATCATATACAGATTGATTATCAAAGAATACTAAATGACTAAGTTGTAGCCGACGTTAAATACACCACATACAAAAGGGAATGTACAGAGACAAATCGAACAATGAAAATAATAAGGACGTGAATATGAACGGAAAATGAAATATTTTCGAGGTATAAAGAGAGCTTTTCGCGGTAACTACTAGGTAAGTTAAACACTCAGATTATACCAACACAAGACATCCAACCAGAAATTTCATACAGATCAAAAGGATACCACCATTGATCAATCTTCTACATCAATCCAAACTACCTTATTCCTTGGTGCAACACTAATCAACTGTGCAACTTAGTCCTTAAAACGCTAGTACCGACTTAGTCAAATGAAAAACACATATCAAACATTTTTAGTTTTTTTTTCTCCAAGTCATTTTGGAAAGTTATCCATAAGCTTTTTTGTCAATTAAGAGTAGATTACTCATGTACAGTAATTTGATATGAGAACCTATAATATATGTCTCAAGGAAAAAATGAAGTTGGGAACAAAATTCGAGAAATTTAAGATCGAAAGCAACAATTAATACAAAGTATAATAACCATAAATACGAAAAAA